GGTGAGATTACCGATGCGTTCAGAAAATATCGAGCCTTGCTTAACGGAAATATATCATTATCATTCAATTTAACAATAGTCAATCGTAAGAACTGATGTATATCATTGTCAGAAGGATTTTCTTTGGTCCTATAAGAAATCCACCACTTCATCAGTGCTACAGTTTCTTCTATGGTCAATGCTCGGCTCTGTAGCTCCATAAATACATCGTTGATTTTAATTTCCTTCATTATTTTCAAATTCTCTTTTGCTTTTTTAATAAAGACGTCACATTGTTCCATGATAATTTTCGGAACAACTGGTACCGTTTTGATAAAAGCCTCCATCTCTGGGTTAGGTAACCGCACCAAATCGGCCGGTTGTACCCCGCGAGTCGACAAAATAGAGATTGGCTTTGCGGAGCAGCTATAAAATTGCGACTCAGCAATCCTTCCAACGGCAACACTCGGCGTACTAGGTTTGTATGTAAAATGTTTGAGTGCATGCGCTGCCTTTCTTTCAAAATATTCACGGCCTGATTTTATTGCCTCATCTTCAGAATTTATTGATGATCCAACAATTTCTTTGTATAACTTAGATATCTGTGTCATTTCATCTTCATATAAAATGCGACAAAGAATTCCAACAAGGCAAAGCATCTCGTTATTATATACAGCAAGAGTCTTGTCGACTAGATCGATTGATTCACGCTCAACCTAATAGTTTAACGAAAAGCTATTAGCAAGACGCTTAATCCTGATAAGCATATGATAATCAATATTAGACCAAACATTTACCGTTGGAATTAGGCGAGCTGCTAGATGGGAACTACAGCCAGTAGTTTGATGTGTCGGAAACCCAATAAAAATCCGACCTTGTTCAGGATAGGGAAGTAAATTTTTAAAGATTTCAGAAACCTTTTCATTTCGATCGGAAGAATATGAATGTTCATCATAACCAGTAAACATGATGTGGATGGAAGTTGTACTGGGAGGCTTCTTTTTCGTTGTTCTTTCCATTTCATTCGAAAACGCTTTTGGTACTCGAACGTCTAAATGGCCACTAGCAACTCGAAGATATATTGATGTTTC